GACCTGAGCCAAAGGCAGACACTTAACCAGCTGAGCCACCCAGGTGCTCCTCTTTTTTTTTTTTTTTTTCTTTTATTTGAGAGAGAGAGAGACAGTGCCAGGGGCAGGGGCAGAGGGAAAGGGAGAGACAGTCTTAAGCAGACTCCGCGCTGAGCTTGGAGCGATGTAGGGCTTAGATCTCACAACCCTGAGATCACGACCTGAGCCAAGACCAAGAGTCGAATGCTTAATGAACTGAGTCACCCAGGTGACCCTTCTCTGAGAATTCTTTCATGTCTCGTTTGTACATACAGTATGCTTTTCTCTTGGGTGTATACCTTGGGGTGGAATTGCTAGTTATAGTGTAGACGTAGTTAGCTTTACATAAGTTTTGCTAAATAATTTTCCAAAGAGGTTATGCCATGGAAAAGGCATCTTTTTATAGACCTCCTTCCCAAAGAAGGTGAACACATCCCTGTGTCTTTTTTTTTTTTAAGATTTATTTAGAGAGTGCACACAAGGTGGGGGAGGGGCAGAGGAAGAGAAGCAAACTCCCAGCTGAATGTGAAGCTGGCGTCGTCGGGGCTCCATCCCGCAACCCTGAGATCATGTCCTGAGCTGAAATCAAGAGTCCAGATGCTTAACCAACTGAGCCACCCGGTTGCCCCCATCCCTGTGTCTTTAGTAACAGCTGAAGCTTGTAAACTCCCTATCATGTGTACACTTTGTCCTTTCTCTACAAATGTGTGTTTGAGGTCTTTCCTAAAATTCCCCTTACAGAACTTTCTTTGGGGGGATAAAAAGTTTAAAGAATAGAAGCTACACAAAACAGGAAGGAAGAAGAAAAACAACCTTTTCTTTTTCTTTCTTTCTTTTTTTTTTTTAAAACTTTAAATCGAGGGCTTTTAAGACTGTTTCACCAAGGAGTAATAGAGAAAGAACCTTGATGCCACCACCATTAGTTGGTTCAAAACTGTTGTCCAAGAGTAGTCACATGAACACAGACAGATGATTGGTTATTGAAGAGTTTATTCTTCCTCAGTATAATAATACTAACATTTTCTGTTCTAAATATCTGGTAATGCTATAAGTTTGGAAAGGAAATTTCTTTGACATGTATTTCTTTTTCTTATTTTTTTCTTTACTTTTTCTGACTATGTATCTTTTTTTTTCTCTTGTAGCAAAATTCATACCAACCAACAAATAAAGGAAGATACAAAGTCTTATAAAACATCTGGAGAAAACTTCTTACTTGTGCTGGTCTGTGACACATGTGGCAGTTGTCTTGTTTACAATGTATTGTAAATTAAGATTTTTAAAATTCTGTCTTGCTGATTTTTTTAAATATATGAAACCAGTATTTGCTAAAGAAATCTTCTTTCAGTAAGTACCACCAGAATTATCAAACTGTATTTAAAGCAGACCTGTTTTCAGCATATGATGTCCTTTAATGTAAACTTTAAATATCAATATTTTAAATATCTGGATAATATTCCAGAAGTTTAAAAAAAATGGAAATATTTGGACTTTCTATTGACAGTAATAAAGTATACAAGTCACTAAGGGGCTCTTTACCTTATCCTCTTGAAATGAAATTGTGATCATCTCCTCAAAAAAAGGTAAAATTCTCTCATTTTGTGTCCTCCCCCCACCCTCCTTGAGCTTAAATCTTACTTGACTCAGTGGAACAATATGAACTGGACTTAAGAATGTTATAATAGAATTTTTACAAAATGTTTCAGTTTTTGTTTCAATTTTTATCATCATAAATGGGCAATAGTTGGACTGCTTTTTGGTTTTGTAAAATTAAAGATTTGTAGTTTAAGAGTTTTTTGCATTTCTTTACACTGCAAAGAGTTTTAGTATTTACTCCTTTTAGGTTCCCCTCACAATCTCTAGCTCTGGGTCTAGATACTAAATCTTTTTTACTCTTCCTTAAAAGAAAGTGATTTGTAGCCTGTAGATATTAATGTTTCCTTTTTCCCCTGAAAGTGTTTGTTTATACATCTGTACATAAAAACAGACTACTGATTTTAATCCACATTTTCTCCAGGATTATTGAGTAGGTTATGAATTTTCTTTCTTAAAAATTTCAAGCATAATGGTACCTGTGTTGTAGACTTAGATTTAAGCATCTCTCAGTGAAATTTAGCTCACAAGGAGTCATAAATTATATTTTTGACCCTTCAGATATAGTTCCTGAATATTCTAATTTAAATTGTTATGATTGGATCACCCAATATTCTTTTCAAGACTCCTGGTGTATTAGAACTTTGTATTGTTGTCACTTCTTGAAAAAAGAAAATTTCCAGGAATTAAATAGATATATTTCTTAAATTAAGAGACACAGAAGTTTCTGAATATTCTTGACTTAAGAGCTTTTTAAAAAGAAGAAAATAAAGCATACTAAAATCATATTAATAAGACATTAAGTGGTTAAAATGACAAGGAGTGTCATTTCTTCAATATAGTTATTCTTACTGAAAAACTAAGATGGATATAACTGGGAAATATTCTTGGATCCTTTCCATATCTACCTTCTTTCTTGGAAGAAGAAAACAGACCAGACACATGTAACAGGAGAACCAAATAAACCATTTACTCTAAAATGCAGGCATCTTGGGCTCCTTTTCTTTTCCTTTTATTTATTTGCTTATTTTTATTACCTAGTGATAGTTTGTTTCTTTTGATAGAATATATGGCAATCTCACATTGGTGACAATTGGTGCTCCCTTCAGCCTCCTGGATCACTTTGAGATTCAGAGTTTTACATCATTTTAGCATTACTACCTTTATGTTTGTATATCTAGATGTAATAAACCACTGATAGTATTTTGTCCTAAAGTGAAACACATTTCTCTGTTACAACATTTTTTAGTATCACACTGATTCTTTGATTTTTAAAATCAGAATGATGTATAGACTAAATTGTTTTTTAATGCAATATCAATATTTGCTCATGTTTTCTAAATTCCTTATAAAATAAAGTTAATTCAACCTACACTTTCCTAAAATTATCTCTGCTGAAATGTTTTATGCTGTTGCTCTAATTTTGTTTACATTGGTAGGCATGTGAGAGAAGTATTGTACTCTCTGTATCTTTATTAAAAATTTTAGCAACCCTGCTACCCAGAATATATGGTTCTATCCAAAAATATCTTCCTGAAGAAGCCTCTTAGTCTTAGGTTGTGTTTGTATTTGGCATAAGACAGATAGGCGATAGGTGAAATAATAGTTCATGTGCCAGTTGGCATTTTGCCACAGTGCACTCGTTTTACAAAATGGGAGTATAGACTTTAACAGTGATGGCTAAGTTATTTCCAAGTCATTGTACACACTTTATTATTTGATATGTTTCATGTCTTCTCAGCCTCATTGGTGTACAGATGGTGGTCAGCTGCACCTGAGACTGCAGTCCTTCCTCTGAGCCGGGTAGCCACGACATGTGAAGTTGTTTGTTTGAGCAGAACCAGCTCTTGAGTACCTGGGATTTATAAATCTTATAAAGCCAGCTGTGGGATCTGTTTCTAAATAGCATATCAGCACTGTAAGGATCACAAGCTAGAAAGCAAAACCTCCAAAGTTGTAACTTAGTTTATTAAAATGTTCTGGTTTTGTGTTTTGTTGATGATGGATGCTAAGCTCTTACAGTGGGCAGGAGTTCTAAGTAGCTAGCCCAGTGTGATCCTTGAGATCAGATGCTTCCTCTTAGATTTGAGTCTGGAGCTACTAGTTCTTCACAGTTTGGTACATAGTTTTAAGGATTGGAATCTGCTGGCATTTTTTTATGCCTTCTGCTTCTGGCATAAAAAGCTGAAGTTAAGATGGGTGTGTAAATATAAAGACAGAGTGAATGAATATGTGTGGAGGGATGTCTTATCTTTTTATTCAGTTTAGGTGATATAATCATCAGAAAACAATAATAAAAATCTCACTTGAGTGGGCTCTTTGGCTTAGGAATATAATCATCATCTTACTGCTTAATGTTAGGCAAGTTCTCCAGAGCTAAAGATGGCTACATTTCCCTCCCTAGTTAAAGATCGTCTGGGGTTTTAAATTGCAGGTATTTGAAGGTCTTTTTTTTTTTTCCCCCTTCTCTATCAACTTATAATTTTCCTCAGGCAGGAATCCCAAGTAGAAATGTGAAGAAAAATTGTAAACAAACATTTTCTTTGCAAAATCTCCACCATATCAGTGATCTCACCTTTATAGTGCCTTCTTGCTTAGCTGGTATTTGTGCATTTGTAAGTACATACTATCAGATCACATGACTGGAGAGGAATTTATATTTTTGAAGTTTTTATTTTTAAATAATCTCTTCACCCAGTGTGGGGCTCAAATTCACAACCCCGAGATCAAGAGTTGTATACTCTACGGACTGAGCCAGCCAGGCGCCCTGAGGAATTTACTTTTGATTATTTTTCTTGACTTTATTCTTTTCCAGATATGGCTTCAGCTTATAGAAGTTCATGATTTTGAAGCTCTAGCCTTTCAAAAGAAATTCTAACTTTGCATTAACCTTGGGGAGGAAAAACAAGTATGAAATAAAAGTTTTAACGCTTTGGAAATCTGGAGCTCAGAGTTACCCTTTCAGATATTATTAGGATTACTGTAAAAGCTAGAGTTTCAGAATGAAAAAATTCCTACATCATTTTTAATATATGGAAATACCTGATAGTTCATGTTTTGAATATTAGACCCTTTTCACAGTTTAACCTATTATGGAATAAAGAATATGTGAGGATTCAGTATGAAAAATGGGCTTTTTGTCCACAGAAGAAGCATATCATTTTATTTTTTTTTTAAAGATTTTATTTATTTATTTGATAGAGACAGCAAGAGAGGGAACACAAGCAGGGGGAGTGAGAGGGGAAGAAGCAGGCTTCCCACCGAGCAGGGAGCCCGATGCGGGGCTCGATCCCAGGACCCTGAGATCATGACCTGAGCCGAAGGCAGAGGCCTAATGACTGAGCCACACAGGCGCCCAGAAGCATATCATTTTAACTTGGCACTTGGTAGTAGATGGATTTCTAGCAGCTTATCAACTCCAGGCACTTCTTAGCAGCCTCGGATTTAACATGTCTGTGGCCTTTATTTCTGAATTCTTAGTAGGCTCTCAGGTGCCTGGATCCTGCAGTTCAAGGATCCTTGAAGGCATTATTTTCTGTCTGTGCTTTTGCCTATGGAAGTCTTCTGAAAGCTGAGACCCCCAGAACTGTATTGTTGACTTTTGCAAAAAGAGTCCTTTTTATCTCTCAGGCCAGCCCAGGGCCCAAGTCACCGATTTGGAAAGCTTGATGGAAAGAGCAGGGGGGTGAATGCCTGGGAGTTCCAAGGAGAATACAAGTTCCTCTAAAATTTTAGGGGTCTAGTGGTGCTATTTAAGTGTGTCTGGGGTGGTAATGATTCTGTGATACACTTCAAGTTTGAAAACTGATAATCTTCACTTTTTCTTTTGTTCTTGGATTTTGACTGCCTGTGATCTAACGTAGTGATCTTCAAAGTGGGGCACATGTATAGTAAGCCATTTGGAAAGCAGGAAGAAAATACTAGAGCTATTTGTGTTACTTTTTAAATCTCATCCTTTAAGATTTTTTTTTTTTTAATTTAGAGAGTATGTGTGAGCTGGGGGTGGGGCAAAGAGAGAGGGGAGAATCCTCAAGCTGACTCCCCACTGAGCACAGAGCTGATCCCAAGAACCCGAGATCAAGAGCCAGATGCCCATCTGACTGAGCCACCCAGGCGCCCCATTCTTTAATTTTTTTTTTTTTGGTAGCTTTTATAATATGTTGTTTCGTGACTTGTGTTTAAATACAATATTACAATATTGGTAAAACAGTTCATGTGTACATAATTATAATTAAATTTACTATATTGGGGGTACCTGAACAACGTTAGGCAGGTTGCTTAAATGCTTTAAAACATTTGCTTTTTCTTATGTAAATAGATGTGGTAATACCTATCTTCGGGTTGTTGTGAGGATGAGGTGAAATAGAACATTTAAAGCATATAAAGATAGTGCCTGGCATATGATAAGCATCCAATAAGTATCAGTACTATTATCATTACAATGGGTGTAGGTTTTCTCATGCTCTGTTTATATATTGCTATTATTTTCAGTATTGCTATAAGCTGTATACCTAGTGAGAACAGTCCATGGCTACTGATAAACTAAAATCTAGAAAGTGAGATTCACTTTTTCTTTGTGTATCTTTCAGTTCAAGTGAAAGTATTTAGGAACACTTGTTGCCGTAGTTCAAAGGTCTCTAAAGGCAGCCAGCTCCTGGCTCTAGACAAATATTCCTTTTATGGCCTTCCTTTTGCATGTGTACAACCACCATTTATCATTCAAAAAATCTTATTAGCTGGTCCTCTGTCTGATCTGGCCTGCCCAGAGCCAGGCTGAAGCTGTTGGAGAAGGAATGAAGAATGTTGGATCAGGTCCAAATTGTATTTCAAGGATCTATACTTTGAAGAAGAAACTTTGGTTGATAAGTCAGAGTGTGACATTTAAAAGTGTGCTCTTGTTGCACATGAAGTGATGATAAATGGCTCTGCTCTTGAAAAAGCCTCTACATTCAGGACTAGTTACACGTTTTATCTGTGTGGCACCTCATTAAGGCCAACCTGAGATGATTCTCAGAAAACAGATTACTGCATTTAACACTGTATTCTGGTTATCAACTTGAGTTTTTGTCTACATCACCAGAATCTAAACTCCCTGAGGTCAGGGACCATGTTAGTCCCGTACCCCCAGGACTTTGCATTCAGTAAATATATGTTGAATTGACTAGTCACTTGTCCACAGTCATATAACTAGTAAGTGGTAGACCTAGATTTAAATCCACCTCTATCTTTACCCATTAGCTCATTTAATTTCTTATCCCTGCAAGGAGGACATTGTCTTCATTTCACACATATGGAAACTTCTGGAAAGAACAGTGACTTGCCCAAGGTACCATAGGAGACAAATGGCAGAGAGGCATTCAAACCCAGGAATGTCTGACTCCATGTCTTATTCTGGCTCTCTCTCCATTAGGCCTGCAAATCATCGGACCTTATTAAGACAAAAGTTTGTGTTTCTTAAGTGGTTTTATGTACAAATGACATTTCAGAAAAAAAAATACAGAGTTACGGATCTCGGATAGTCATGGTCTGGGAGTGCTACAGTGCATTTTCAAATTCCACTTGAAGAATAAAAAAGAGGACTTGCGTGGAGAAATCCTCTTTTAACGTTTTTTGGAAGGGTACTTAATATGTCCTCAAACTGTGTACATATTTTAGCTGTCTTCTACATTGGTATTTTCCTTTTATAAATGAACAGTACTGGTATAATCAGTCCTGTTCTGTAGTATTTTATAGAAATGAGTCAGAATATTTAGAATCTTGTTAGGGAACTATGCTTGATGGAAAATGAATAGGTTACCTTGTTTCATGTACTCCATTTGGTTTTCCTGTTGCTCCTGTCTTTGCTACTGGCAGCAGTGCCTGGGTAGATGCTGCGCTCAAAGCAGAACTCAGTGCTAAGAATTACCTCCTGACACAGTCTTCACTGCATAGGCAAAAAGGAGAAACACCGCCCCTAGCCTCTTAGCACTACCTAATAGGGTCTTTTAGGCAACCTTCTTAATTCTGGATCCTTTCCTTTCTCACATATTCAAAGTCACAGCGGGAAAACTGGGGAAACCAATCCCTTCTGCTAAGTGGCTTGTATGGGGTGACTGATACGCTGGAAATTTTACAACAACTACATAAAGGGGGGGATTTTGTAAGCAAACTACGTCTAGTCCCATCCCTTCTTGTGATGGTGTAATGAAGAATATGGCAATTTCTGAGGTCTTGAGTATAAAATCTTTTATTTTTTTTAAAGATTTTATTTATTTATTTGACAGACACAGGGAGAGAGGGAACACAAGCAGGGGGAGTGGGAGAGGGAGAAGCAGGCTTCCCACAGAGCAGGGAGCCCGATGCGGGGCTCAGTCCCAGGACCCTAGGATCATG